AACTTTTAAATGATGAAAATGTTAACTAATTTTTTGTTTATCTTGAAGTTGTTATGAGGCCGGACAAAATGTTGATTGCAAGAATCGAATTCCCTGTAACAGAAGGGGAAAGCATTTCTTTTCTCCTGTAAGTAGAGCAATTAGACATGAAGTCTCTCATCTAAATTTCAGCATACATGGATTATCTTCTGTGCATTTCAACTGTTAATATTTATAGATTTCTTAAATGTGACTATATAGTATGGTGGACTATATAAAAATCATGGTCCATTGGGTCATTGCAGATCATTTTGAAAGATGGGCCGTGATGGAGTGTGTGTTGGGTTCACTTGAACTGACATGGAAACCTTACTTCTCTCCATCACTCTCCATCCCATCATTGGAGGTTGATGATCCAATGGACATTGCTTTACCCATTTCCATTTTATTAGGTTATATTTACCCTTATTAAATTCTATTTATAGCTTTATTTAGCTTTTTGATCGCTATGCTTTTGGCTATATTAACACCACATATTAACTCCTTGCAGGTTGAGATGAATGATCCTCCTTCAAGCACCAAGGACAAGGATGGTATTTTGCAAAGTGAAATATTTTATACACCACAAGCCTTCTTAGACTTCTGTGTATATAATCATTTACAATTTGATACCTTACGCCGTGCAAAGCATTCCTCTTTTGTGATCATTGATACTCTTCAGGACAATTTCCGTAAGAGCTTACATTGTCAGCCACTAAAGGGTCAAGTGGAAAATAACTAGGTGAGCAGAAAAGGGGTTTGTTGAACATACCTGTTAAAATATGTTGCTAAGTTGAATCACTAAGAAGTTGTGAAAGGACCCATTCTGGGGTTTCTATTGATTGATAAATATGTAGTTCGCTACATTTGTTTTACCGTGGGCAAAGTATATTCTAATCCACTGCAGTATGGTAAAACCCTGGTCATGTTGGATCTTCTTTATACATTGAAGTGATGGACAGTGATAGAGATTGATATGGAGCCATTCACCTGAGGGTGGTTGCCACTGTTCCTCCATCACTATCCATGGCTTTAATGGAGGGTGAATGGGGATTTCTACAATGTATTGGGTTACGTCATAAGTTCCCTTGACCATGTATATATCATTGTTTTCCCTTGATGAATATTCCTTCGAAGATTGTATGATTTTTGTGTAACATGAGTCATGAGAGTGCATTGCATATTACAACACGATGGAGGAAAATGATAGAAGGAAAATAAAACATAAAAAAATCTTTTATGAGACCCAAAATTCAGTAGTTCAATTTCTGTTTTCCTTCTACATATTTATAAAAGTAACCTTAAGTCACTTTCCCCATAAGAAACCCTAGTCACTATTAAATCTTAGCCCTTCATCTTCTCAAATTAAATTCCAACTCTATCCCTCAGTTCTCTATAACAAAACAAGACTTAATTACCGAAGATAACTAAAAAAATTAAATGATCAAATGAACCCAATCTCATCTTTGAAAAAAAAAGCAAAATAAACAAATCTACCTGTTACCTTTCATCCACACACATGGGAAAGGGGTTCTAATAGTTATTTTACAGCCTTGGATTGCATGATCTCTTTACTCAGCTTCAAATAGAGTAGGATCTTGTTCTTTGACTTGGGTGGGCAATGCCAATATCCCAATTGTTTTGACTTGAAGAACTTTTCAATGGTTGTGCTAACTCTAGTGATGCAATGTCTGAGCAATGGAGAAATGGAAAAGGCATGTGAAAGATGTGATCCAGGCATGATAGGGAGCTATCCTTACTAGATCACTTTCAAATGATAATCCAGTTGAGAGCATTGAAGAACAAGGGATGGTCGCTTTTCCCCACCCCCCTCACCCCACCGTATTAATCTGAAGTTCTATACCTCTCCCCACCCCACACCCCCTCGGTATTAATCTGAAGTTTTAAATATCCCTCCCCACCCCCCACCCCTCACCTCATCGGTGTCCAATATCATATGCATCATCAAACTTAATGCTCTCTTGTGGTTTAATCTGAGGAGTCCTAAACATCTCTCTCTCT